AAGTGGATGCATCACAAACACGGGCGACTGTATGAACTGAACCCAAGTGGGTGCATCAAAGCACCGGCGACTGTACGAACTGAACCCAAGTGGATGCATCCAAAACACCGGCGACTGTATGAAGTGAACCCAAGTCGATGCATCACAAACACCGCCGACTGCATGAACTGAACCCAAGTGGATGCATCACAAACAACGCTGACTGCATGAACTGAACCCAAGTGGGTGCATCACAAACACGGGCGACTGTATGAACAGAACCCAAGTGGATGCATCACAAACACCGGCGACTGTATGAACTGAACCCAAGTGGATGCATCACAAACAACGCTGACTGTATGAACTCACCCCAAGTGGTTGCATCACAAACACCGGCGACTGCATGAACTGAACCCAAGGGGATGCATCTCAAACACCGGAGACTGTATGAACTCAACCCAAGTGGATGCATCACAAACACCGGCGACTGTATGAACAGAACCCAAGTGGATGCATCACAAACACGGGCGACTGTATGAACTGAACCCAAGTGGATGCATCACAAACACCGGCGACTGTATGAACTGAACCCAAGTGGATGCATCACAAACACCGGCGACTGTATGAACAGAACCCAAGTGGGTGCATCACAAACACCGGCGACTGCATGAACTCATCCCAAGTGGATGCATCACAAACACGGGCGACTGTATGAACTGAACCCAAGTGGATGCATCACAAACAACGGCGACTCATGAACTCATCCTAAGTTGATGCATCACAAACACTGGCGACTGTATGAACTCAACCGAAGTGGATGTATCACAAACACCGGCGACTGCATAAACTCAACCCAAGTGGATGCATCACAAACACCGGCGACTGTATGAACTGAACCCAAGTGGATGCATCACAAACACCGGCGACTGTATGAAGTGAACGCAATTTGTTGCATCACAAACACCGGCGACTGCATGAAGTGAACCCAAGTGGATGCATCACAAACACCGGCGACTGCATGAACTTAACCCAGTGGATGCATCACAAACACCGGCGACTGTATGAACTGAACCCAAGTGGATGCATCACAAACACTGGCGACTATATGAACTGAACCCAAGTGGGTGCATCAAAACACCGGCGACTGTATGAAGTGAACCCAAGTGGATGCATCACAAACACCGGCGACTGTATGAACTGAACCCAAGTGGATGCATCACAAACAACGGTGACTGCATGAACTGAACCCAAGTGGGTGCATCACAAACACTGGCGACTGTATGGAACTCAACCCAAGTGGGTGCATCACAAACACCGGCGACTGTATGAACTCAACCCAAGTGGATGCATCACAAACAACCCTGACTGTATGAACTCAACCCAAGTGGATGCATCACAAAACACGGGCGACTGTATGAACTCAACCCAAGTGGATGCATCACAAACACCGGCGACTGTATGAACTCATCCTAAGTGGATGCATCACAAACACGGGCAACTGTATGAACTCAACCCAAGAGGATGCATAACAAACACCGGCGACTGTATGAACTCAACCCAAGTGGATGCATCACAAACACGGGCGACTGTATGAACTCAACCCAAGTGGATGCATCACAAACACCGGCGACTGTATGAACTCATCCTAAGTGGATGCATCACAAACACGGGCAACTGTATGAACTCAACCCAAGTGGATGCATCACAAACACCGGCGACTGCATGAACTGAACCCAAGTGGATGCATCACAAACACCGGCGACTGTATGAACTGAACCCAAGTGGATTCATCACAAACACCGGCGACTGTATGAAGTGAACGCAATTTGATGCATCACAAACACCGGCGACTGTATGAAGTGAACCCAAGTGGATGCATCACAAACACCGGTGACTGCATGAACTTAACCCAAGTGGATGCATCACAAACAACGGCGACTGTATGAACTGAACCCAAGTGGATGCATCACAAACACCGGCGACTGTATGATGTGAACGCAATTTGATGCATCACAAACACCGGCGACTGTATGAAGTTAACCCAAGTGGATGCATCACAAACACCGGTGACTGCATGAACTGAACCCAAGTGGATGCATCACAAACAGCGTTGACTGTATGAACTGAACCCAAGTGGATGCATCACAAACACCGGCGACTGTATGAAGTGAACGCAATTTGATGCATCACAAACACCGGCGACTGTATGAAGTGAACCCAAGTGGATGCATCACAAACACCGGCGACTGTATGAACTGAACCCATGTGGATGCATCACAAACAACGCTGACTGCATGAACTGAACCCAAGTGGGTGCATCACAAACACGGGCGACTGTATGAACTGAACCCAAGTGGATGCATCACAAACACCGGCGACTGTATGAACTGAACCCAAGTGGATGCATCACAAACAACGCTGACTGTATGAACTCACCCCAAGTGGATGCATCACAAACACCGGCGACTGCATGAACTGAACCTAAGGGGATGCATCTCAAACACCGGAGACTGTATCAACTCAACCCAAGTGGATGCATCACAAACACCGGCGACTGTATGAACTGAACGCAAGTGGATGCATCACAAACACCGGCGACTGTATGAACTGAACTCAAGTGGATGCATCACAAACACCGGCGACTGTATGAACTGAACCCAAGTGGATGCATCACAAACACTGGCGACTGTATGAACTGAACCCAAGTGGATGCATCACAAACATCGGCGACTGTATGAACTCATCCTGAGTGGATGCATCACAAACACTGGCGACTGTATGAACTCAACCAAATTGGATGCATCACAAACACCGGCGACTGCATGAACTCAACCCAAGTGCATGCATCACAAACACCGACGACTGTATGAACTGAACCCAAGAGGATGCATCAAAAACACCGGCGACTGCATGAACTCACCCCAAGTGGATGCATCACAAACACCGGCGACTGTATGAACTCAACCGAAGTGGATGCATCACAAACACCGGCGACTGTATGAACTGAACGCAAGTGGATGCATCTCAAACACCGGCGACTGTATGAAGTGAACGCAAGTGGATGCATCACAAACACCGGCGACTGTATGAAGTGAACGCAAGTTTGATGCATCACAAACACCGGTGACTGCATGAACTGAACCCAAGTGTTTTATCACAAACACCGGCGACTGTATGAACTGAACCCAAGTGGATGCATCACAAACACCGGCGACTGTATGAACTCAACCGAAGTGGATGCATCACAAACACCGGCGACTGTATGAACTGAACGCAAGTGGATGCATCACAAACACCGGCGACTGTATGAAGTGAACCCAAGTGGATGCATCACAAACACCGGCGACTGCATGAACTCAACCCAAGTGGATGCATCACAAACACTGGCGACTGCATGAACTCAACCCAAGTGGATGAATCACAAACACCGGAGACTGTATGAACTTAACCCAAGTGGATGCATCACAAACACCGGTGACTGTATGAACTGAACGCAAGTGGATGCATCACAAACACGGGCGACTGTATGAACTGAACCCAAGTGGATGCATCACAAACACCGGCGACTGTATGAACTGAACCCAAGTGGATGCATCACAAACACCGGCGACTGTATGAACTGAACCCAAGTGGATGCATCGGCACATAGACGAACATTGGAAGACGAACAGGCTTTTGTAATTACCTCATGTATAAATCCAGTAACAGACCGGAAAAATACCCCCAAATCATAGTGAAGAGTGTCTGTCAATCTACTGTTATCGTAAATCCCTTTCTCATTTAAGAATTGAATGTCAGTTTGTGTGTTTTTGCACTGAAAAAATGAACGATGTCAAAGCGGTGTTCAAACTCGTGTGAACGAGCGAGTTTACGAGCGAGTTCACGCGAGAGTTTGAACACCGCTTTGACATCGTTCATTTTTCAGTGCAAACACACAAACTGACATTCAATTCTTATAATTTCGCACTTTGAAGTTTACACATACGTTTTCCACCCACTTGTAGATGATCATTGTTTAGTGTGTTTTAAGACCTGTAAAATGTTGTAATGCCATTCGGTTCAAGAACGTACGTATTGCAGCGATGTTTGTATACACAGCGATTTTTTTTTACACATGTATCCCAACCCTTGAAGAAATAGTTCTCAAAGTATTCGATCTTTAAAATATAACAACAAATTCGTTATGAGGTTTGAAACTGCTTTAATAAGTATAATCAATAACAGTATCAAACAGAAACAAATATCAGAAGCAATAACAATACCATTTTAACAAACTGGCATTGTACCTTTTCACTTGTAAATACCTTGTTTGACCGCGTAATAATACACTGACCGACTTCGAAGTTGTGCGGCGTGGCGATTAGGAAACAGATCTTGTTGTATTCTATTTATTTGTGATTGTTTATTGTGAAATTTATTGAGCAGTTGTTAAACAGACCTCGGGGCAGAAAACCGCCGGATGAACCAGCAAACTGCGAGACATTAAACTCCTGTGAAAGGGACAATGTTCGGCAATCCGTTTGGTAGTGACATTGCCAAACTTGGGGTGACTTGAAACAGGTTCGTTTTATTGGGGGTCCTTGAAACCGAAGCGAAAAACGTTCACACACGTATGAACGGTGTTTACACAAGTATGAACGATTAGAGGGGTTCAAGAGTAATGAACCTTGAAATTTAGATCACATGACCGCTCTCTCAACCAACCAACGTTCGGGAATCTGTGTAAACTTGAAAGCACGAAATTATTTGTTGATGAATACAGAAAATAAAAATTAGACGATAGAAAAGAAGGTTTTCAGAAATTTTTTGCTGCGTGTGTAAAAACTCCAGATGATTAAGTCCTAAGAGAGATAGGTTTTGATCTTCCCTCTCGTGATCAACAACATAATTAATGGTGACATGAATGAATCTTGAAGGTGAAGTTCCTAATAAATGTATTCTATTTTTAGAAAATATAAATCTCTTTTTATAAAATGTTGGTTGAGTATATTTTGTATCACATTAGAAAAAAGTGAACTTACACAAAACAGGAGTTCCCATAACGTGGACAAGTCGACCACCTAAAATAACAATTCAGGTATAAAGTTACCTTCTGAAGTCATAGCAAAACCATGCAGACATTTAAGTATGCTATAGATGTAGCATCTCTCTCATAAACAAAAAAAGTCAAAAAAGATTTTATTCGCAAAATCTGAACAAAACATTTTGGAGACGAACATTATTTTGTAATGTTCCGAAATAGTAATTGTAGCAAGAAGGAAAAGTGATTTAATACTTCCATACACGAGGACACTACCTACGAACTGTAATTTTTATTTGTCAATTCAAATTCTTTACCCTGACTTTAAACATTTTTCAAAATGTTCTGTGTTCAGTATTATACCAACCTTGCGCCATAGACAGAAGACGTCCTTCCATGGAAGCTATGGCTGCCTTATCTTCTGCAATCATCTGTATGGCAATACAAGTTACATGTTAACTACCGAGAGCGTGCACATGAAAATCAGATAGGACGAAAAATGAAAACAGTATTTAAACGTTCAAACAATTGTAACAAGATTCTATAAAACTCTTGGATGCTACATGCAAGCGAATCATCAAATTCTTATGAAAGTGATAACGGTAAACATTACACTGGTGTGATCTACATGCATGTCACAAAGTACCATTATTAGTAGCATAGCATGATAACTAGTGGTTTTTGTAAAAACAAGTATACAAAAGAAATGTAACTCCAGGACTACGTAAGAAATATTTTTAGCAACTGGACATGACTTATACAGTCTACAACTTTTAAATTATAGCATATCAAATATTCATTTGGAAATTGTAATCATCACTTTGAACATACTAATTACTCTCCATGCAGAACAACAAATTCCACAATCAGTTGTTAAACAGTTACTTACTCTTTCAAGGATTGCGTACAGAGGTGTTCTGCCAAGTTTTCCCTGTTGAAACTGCCGTATTTGCAGAACATGACCTTTCTGTTTTTGTTTCCTTTGAATGTCAGTACCTAGATACAATGTATGAAGCTGACTTTATGAGTAAAATACATCATGTGATCAGCGATGTAATCAAACGTACACCTGACAAACATCTGGTTGATATTGTGACAACAAGTTATATCGGAATATCATCCCTTCAATATGTCCAACTGCATGGACTACTGGAGAATACCAGCCACACAAAACCGTACCATAACCACGCAAATTGTATGCAATGAGTACGTTCACCTTTCCGACTATATCACACGCAGGTATTTAAGCCTAGCTTAAATACTAGGGGTGACTCTTGAGGGGGAAACAACTATTGCGATAGCAATAGTCTATTGCGACCAGCTATTGCAATAGTTGTGTTTTTCTTTGCATCTTCCCATTTAAAGTCATTTCCCAAATGAATCCCAGTATTGTTTATATGAAATATATACAAGCTGAAGTAGTTTCAGTCGCTTTTAATAACTGACAAGAAACTTGAAGCCCTGGGGCTCCTTTCACGAAGCAACCTTTCCTACGGTTAACTTTAACTCCCATTCTTTAACAATGCACTAAGGTTACCTTTGTGACTTACAATCACCTTAGTGCTTCGTGAAAGGAGGTCCAGATCAAGTAAACAGTTCAAACATAAACTCACTAAAGCTGCAAGTGTGCTCCCAAACATCCTGTGTATTGCGCTGCGCGTTTATCAATGGAAGTCAATCACTGAACTATCAATAGTCACACATACCATCGACGCATCGATGAATTGCTATCGGAGACTCAACAATTGGAATCAATAGTTCGATGCATTGTTACAGCCCTATTACATACAGTCATTACAATGGCCTATCTTTCACCTACATAACTTCCAATATTGTTATCGCGTGTACATAGATATATTATCTATGAACAAATAGTTACCAGGTACAGCTATTGAAGGAGATTTTGCACAAAGCGCAGTTGTTAGTAGAATTCCTTCAAAATTATGAAAATGTGATATATGTAACATCAAAAGACAACACACAATAACTATTGTCACATTTACCTGGGAAGTCAGTTTGTATATCAGAAGAATCCCCGAACAGCGGATGGTCATGACATTCATAATCAGTCTGTAAAAGCAACACGTTTCTGTGAAACAAATCAACATCTTAACAGAGATATTATCATGAGGTAAGAGCTCATAACCGTCCTTGTGATGATTAAGTTAATCCTCAGCAACCCAAAGACCTTTCTACTGACACATGTTGTAAATCTGTCGTCCCTTTGTCTTGATACCAACACAACACTTACCGCATCAAGTCTTGACTGTTCTTTAAACCTTGAAAGGCAGCCAATGTTCCGGCTCAAGTAACGTAATGTGTTTTGCCACTCAGCTGAGGAATGAAAAGGAATATGGTACATCATCTTCGTAATTTCACATTACAACAGGTGCTGAATGATCAAAGATTGAATGTATTCAAATTCCATACCTGTACATAGGGGACCAAGCTGCATAATTGTGTTGTCCTTCTCCTGAAACGATCAGAAAATATTTGCGTCCTCAATTGCACACACAAACTGTGTTTGAAAATCCGTACGTATGCATGTATTTATGTGCACGCTTGTGCGTCTGTTGAAGGGTACCGGGAGCAAGGGAATGGGACGATTAGTCAGTTTCCTTAGTGGCAGTCTGTATTCCAGGTTATACATTTGAGTCCAGTAGGTATCTTGTAGTGATTGTGTTAAAAAATGTTATTGTAATCCTGCAACTGCAGTTGTTAAGGTCATATATGTTTTAAACATGTACAGATCTGTTCAATGGTTTCCAGTAACAAAGACAACCGATTTTTATTCCGAAGTGTATCATGCATTTATCATAGAAATAATAGAAACATTGTACAAAATAGTCATTTAGTGTTTCATCTCCTAAAATGTCTAGAAACATGTTTTTAAGATTTTGTTTTGTATACTGAATTTAATGTAACAACGTAAAATGTGCTACCTTTTCAACGATATCCAGGTCTTCTGTAATCTTCTCAACATCCTCAAAACCTGCAGGACGATTGAACCACAAATAAACCCTATTGTTAGTTTTAGAAATTGTACAAATAAGTAGTGAATAAGAATAACTCTTACTCATTTCAGTCAACATAATATGCCAACACAACATCAGTATTAATGCGACATTCGAACTTGGCAACTTAGAATCAATCAATGGCATAAACCATCTGCTGATGACTGCATGACCACTGAAAAAGAACAAGGTTGATCTGTAATTTAAGATACTGGTTTTAAAATGTGTAACATTGATACTTGGCGTTGACCATGTCAGGATTAATGAGTCGCAATAGTAAATCATACTAGCTTCTTAATTGTATTATATCATATTGTTATGATATAACGTCTGTGATGGTGACCGTGGGATTTTCTCTTGGAACTCCTACTTACTTCTAGTTTAGCCTACTTTGTACATTCATTTTAGAAATAGTTTTCTGCAAGTGTGACTGTAGAGATCATCAGGAATGTGAAACAACACTCAATTGTAGTCGCCCTGTGAACCATGCCTCAAAGCCTCACATCACTTACACTCCAGTGTTGTTATCTGAGAGCCTGATCTTATTGACGAGACGAGCAAAGATAAATCCTCTGGTGAGTCCTGTGAACTAAGAGATTCACCATCCTCCAGTGATGTCTCAGAAACCGATTCCTTTAGTGAGTCCATTGATGGTGTAACAGAAGCATAATCCACCAGAGAGGCATGTGGAACACTGTCCATCAAAGGCTGAAAACAAAACCCACAACAAATTACTATTTAAATATGAGTTGTGCAATTGCCTGTACAACAGTGACAAACAAGCATTCAGCCTTCAAGACAAGTACATGCAGTAGCTATATCTTGTTTACGCATGAATGACATACCTCCCTTTTAACTGTAATTATTGTTTAGATATTTCACATTGTTGCCAAAACGTGTTATTCCACAACTTTTGTGAAACAAGCCCTAAGCATCTGCAAGCAGCTAGAGTACTACCGGTAAAGTGTATCAGTTGAGTTGGGTAGAATAGGGTGGTCCTCAACCACTAAATAAATATTCTCCTCCTTGTGACCCGATCTCTAATTTCATCCAATTTGCAGGACATGACATGCAGTACTCCATGATGATGGAATGTCGAGCGATTGTATAACCATTGTTACATGTTGAACAAAAAGTTAACCAGAAATCATTTCAGAGTGAAACAAACAACAAAGAAGAGTTTGCAGTTAACAATTGTATTCTGAAATTAAATAAGTTTACAAACTAAAACTGATTTCTTCAAGGGAATCTACAGTGGCAGTAAAACTATTTTCACCTACATTTCATTTATGAGTCTTGTTGATGAAGCCAACTCTGAAAGGGTTTATGGAATGCAACCGATCGAACACCCAGGGCATGCTGGTCTGTAATCTGTGAAACTTTGGCCAGTCAATCAATGAAATCAATCAATCAAATCAGACATTTGTATAGCGCTACATATCCAGAGTCCTGCTCATGTGCGCTTAGTCGAGTGCTCGTTTGAAGAGGATGGTTTTGAGACAAGATCGGAAACTGTGATATTTTTCGATTTCTGACATTTTCAGGTAATCCACTCCAGAGTACAGCACCTGCTCTGCTCAATGTTCTGTCCCCGTATGTTGTAGTTCAGCCAGACGGAACATCTAAGCTTTGCTGACTAGCTGATCTGAGTGACCAGTGCCATAAGGAATGAGGTCTTCCAAGCAATATGAGTCATGTTGTGGTTCGGACAGATGGAACATCTAAGCTTTGCTGAATAGCTGATATGAGTGACCAGTGCCATAAGGAGTGAGGTCTTCCAAGCAATATGAGGATGAGGTTTTTCCATGGGTTACAACGTATGATGTAATAATAGTTTTGTTAAACCACAAATAAAATTCCGCAGTTAGGCATTGTTTGGGGATATCCTCTAGATCAAATGCTCATAACATACTGTTAAGACATACTGTCTATAGTCATATAAACAGATTTGAAGCTCTGAGTGTTTGCGTAAAAGCAGAGTAAACTTCATTTAAAAATCCTCCTGACGTGAGGTGTTGCAGGATAGTTCCAATACGATGTAGGTTCAGCTGTTGTAGAATGCGATGGAACATGTTTTACTTCGGCTGTCTGAGAAGTGTAGGGCCACTGAGGAAGACGCAGTGGTTGGTCTTCAAAGCAGAGACAGTAGGTCTGAGAACCATGATCGTGCCGGCTATGTTGGTGCCACCAGAAACATCATCATGTGATGGTTCCTGTTCTTGACAAGGTGAGTGGAGTGATTCATATCGGCAGTATTTCAGCCATATCGTGACTACATCAAGTTATATGTATATAATAATTACAGGTAATTATGAGGTAAATTACAAAACCTCTCAACGAAAGGCAATAAAACAACTAGTTTATCACAGATGCAATTTAAATAGCAATAAATTTTTTAAACATTTTAACTTTTATAAAAAACAATATGATAATATAAAAACAGGCTATAGATAGCCAACAACTGAAGGTAGATCACTATAGCTGATCTTGACAAGGACTTGTGTGGTATGAGTGTTGTCGGTGGAAAGGCATGATATCTACTGCATATGCTTGAAGATGTGGGACAAGACTGATATAAGCCGGCAACTGATTGCTGAGAGTGATGTCGCGAAAAGATCTATGCGATCTATGCTGTTCCTATTTGATCGCTATCTGCCTGAAAGCATCCAAATTAAGTGTCCATTCTGTCGTTGTCCAGGTGTGATAACGCGTATGCAAGGATGTTTATCTTCCCGGGATGTGTCTGGCCACTGTGATGCAATCCTGACTGTCCACTAGATCGTAAAGTTCACTCATATGTTTCATAAGGTTTTGGGATCGGGCTCCCCCATTTCTGTTAATATAGACAACTATCATGCTGTTGTCTGTGACAACTAGAAGTTGGAAATTCCTGGAGTATTAGTGCCCAGTGTTAGATGGCTAATAAGACAGCTCTTTCTGCTACGACTGTCGTAAGTCTATGTTACAGTATAGGAGGTACGACAGTCGTAGCGATACGATAGCTTTGTGAAACGGGGCCCTGATGCTCTCTTGTCTTATAGATGATCTCCCCAACCTGTGATTGTAGCATCTGTGAAGAAATGTCGATCTGGTGACAACGTCCTGATTGGAGTCCTGTGTATGACATTATCAGAGTACATCCACCATGCAAGGTCCTTGTGCACAAGATCCGTAGGTGTTATGACAGAGTCTAGCTGTTTTCCTCTATATTGATTGATCCAATTCTGAATGGACCTGACATGCAGCCGGCCTCTAAATGTTAGATCCTGCATAGATGTCAGAGCTCCCAGTAGCAACATCCATTGCCATAGAGTGTGTGGAGATTTCTGGAACTTTGATAAACTGGTTGTATCATTCTGATGGTGTTCCAACGGTGGATAAACAATATCCTGATGAGTGTTGAATATGGCCCTATATATTTCTGTTCCTTCCTGGGCTAAAGTTCTGATTTTGCTGGATGCACAAGGAACTAGGAAGAAAACTCTCAGATACTGGGAGTCGTCTAGAGTAATCCATCAACACTTGGAGACAGGAAATCATCATATATCCATGAATATCTGTATATGGAGATACACCAGTTCTAGGAATGTTATAATTGTAAATAGCCATGGAGCCACTGATATTCCCATCAGTAGAACTCTGAGCTGGAATAGTCTCCAAGGGACAGCAAAGACATTTTTGAGAGGCTGGATGGGTAGATACGTGTAGATATGTGTATTTCAAATATCTCGGGTGCTGTATGGAATCGTCTGTGTGTACTCCATCTTAAACTTGGTTGGTCATCTCTGTTATCCCGGTTCTGGATCTTCATATCGATGATCATTCTGAGTTCTGTTGAATCCTTCTTGGGAACCAGAAATAATGGAGAGAAGAATCCTTGCCCAGGATCCACATGTTTCAACTCGTCCACCCACTGGACCCTGGAATACATCCAGCATAGGCAGGCAACTGTTTCTGAACTAGGAAGGAACTATGTTTCTGAGTCCTTGCTACTGCTGTCTGGTAAGTCCTCTTGATTTAAGTCCAGGTTTTGCCAAACTTCCTGGTCAAGAAGGT